ACTAGATAGCAAGAGTTAAATATGTTTTTAAAATTCCAACTTCAGCTATAAGTGTGCAACAGCCACTGTTGTGTTTTTACTTCCGTCTGTGCCCCTGTGTCTTGGGATATTTTCCCTCACTTCCCGTCTCATCAATGGGGACAGTCAAAAATGTTAAGTAGCACAAGGATGGGTTACAAATTCTGACAATTGCAGCCTTCCGGTCCCGTTGACAACAACTACGTGTATTTCGTGTATGGGTGTCAAAGGGACAGGAAGTGAGGAAGAATCTTCCCAATGGTATTTTAGACAGAAATAATAATTTAAAAAAAACTGCCAGAAATGTTAATACTGCAGCCCAGTTAGATGATGTAAACAAGCTCAAGGTTGCAATAGCAGTTTTCCGATTTTCAGGCTGACTCTTTTCTTTATTGTAGAAGTGATTCAGGCAGTTGTAAACCCTCCCCCATCACTTCTACATGGCAGCACAGCCTATATTTATAGGTATTGTAGTTTTTTACTGTATGCTAATTTAAGGCTTAACATATGTAGTATTTATTGCCTCAATGCAGTATTATTGCCTCAGTTGCAGTTGCATTTATATTTAACAGATAATTTTGAATATATTATATTTGTGTGCAATAAAATACATTTTTTTAAAATTTTTGTGTATTTTTTGCAAATATAGATCTTATAACATGCAACATATGAAATTGAGATTACTATCCTTTTTTTTTTTTTATAGGCCCTCTGACTATATATATTTATCATTCAGCACCGGCAAAATTTGGATACAATGGATTTTTGGCTCATGTGACATTGTTCTCCTATAGATAGTGACATTTTATAAAGTGCATATCCTTGTTAATTCTATGGATCATTGTCAGATTAACCAGACCCCCGTAGGCACTTTTCTTGAGCACACTCTGATTTTTTGTTTTTGTTTTTTTAATAGAGAGATATTTTTGGACTTTTTGGAAATAAAGGATTGCATACTGTACTTTTATATGTTGGTTAATATTTTATTTGACATGCAGGGTCCTGCAAGGTTTTTTAAAGGGGTGTTTTTTTTACAGAAAGTTTTTTTATAATTAAGGATACATGTATTTCCAAAATACGTGGTGGCTTTATATTTAAATGTAAACCTATGTACACCCCTATAACCATGTGTGTAATAAATAATAACAGTAGGAAATCTGTCCATGTATCGCAGCATTGAAACCGTTATGAATACCTTTTTAACTCAGATCAGGTGATCTTGCTCCTTTTCCTCTGCACTGCATGACCCGATAAATGGATGGGGCTAATCCACAGCATGTGACGTGTCTTGCTAAAGTCACTGCTGTGTTTTCCCATCCTATGTCCAAGGCCGCACAGACCTCATGCAGTCATCTGGGGTTGTGTTAAATAAGGGGAGCATAGGAAGCCATGTCAACGCACTGCTGTTCATGAGAGAAAGCAGGAAAATGCATGAAGATTTCAGATTGACCTGCAGAACATTGACCCAGGGATCGAGGAAGTGCTAGTAACTAGCAGGATCACCAGGTATTTACTAAAATGCCTTTACAATAAAAAATAACATCTATAATCAGTATAATCAATTAATTAAAGTCCAGCTTTAAATTAGTTAAATAAATTCCAGGTCTACCAAAGCAAAAGTTATACAACGATTTATTGTTTGTTTTCTTTAGGAACCAGCCACAGCCTGAGTATAAAAGCATGTCCCATGCCAGCATGTTGCAGAGAAGGACCCCTGCTCTCCATGTGGAGGTCTCTCTTCAGAGGTCTGACACCTCCTGCTAGGTCAGATCCAGAGCTACTGAATCAGCAGGGAGCATGGGCCTGTTTGCTTATTGACATCTCAGCAGTTATTTAAAGTGTATCTAAAGTCAAAACATTTTTTTTTAAATTTGAATAGAGTAGAGAAGGGTTACAGCGCATGTCATTTTATTTTTTGCTGTATCACATTTGGGGAATTTTCATCCATTTCTTTTCCCAGTGATGCAACAGAAGGTGAGAGTAAATATCTTTAAGAAGAAATCCCCTGTTAGTTGTCACCAGGTGTGCCCATTTGAAGATTTCCCTTCCCTCTTATTACTGTGACAGCAATAAAAGTTCAGTTGTCCCATCACTTTCTTTCCCATTGACAATGGATTCATGTACACAACAAAGACACAGATAAAAATAAAAGCCTGATACAGGCTCTAAAGCCTTTTCTATTCTGAGCAACACTAAAAAAATGATTTTGGCTTTAGATGCACTTTAACAAGGTGACCCAACTATACTGTTTGAAATACCACTAGAAATACCACCAGATATAGACTCTCCTAATCTGTATATGAAATGTATGCAGGTATTTAACAGAAAACATATAAACGTGTAAAAAAAACATCCGAAAATACTTTGAAGCAAATGTTACAAAGGTACAAAGTTGCTTCTTTTATTTTCCCAATACATGGCTAAGTTTTGGTCCTCTCTCGGGCCTTTCTTCATCCTCATTGTCTGATAACTGCTACATTGATGGCTTCAGACAGCAATCAGACTGTAGAGAGCCAAGTCCAAACAATGGCATAGGAGACCTCCGAATTCTCTCTGCTGGATACAGATCACTTTTCCTATTGTTAGTGCAGGAATAAGCTCACATGTGTGGTGGTTGTGAAGCTAAAAAGGAAGACTCTGTACGTTTGGTATTTATTGTCTAGACGAGCTGTCAGTGTTCATAAAAAAGGCATTATTCAGTAAGGTGTGGTAATTCTGATTAAATGCATTTAGCCACAGCAACCAATTAAAATTCATCTTGTACTCATTTGGCATCAGAAGAGTGAATATTAACTGGTTGCTTCAGGTGGATGCTCTTTTTAATCAAAATTTTGAAACAATTTTGTTTATTAATTTTTTATAGGATGTGCCAAAATAAATAATACAGAAAGTGTCCAACGGTGCATTCATCAATGGTATATATATGTATGTAAATGTATGCATTTAGGATAAGTTTATTTTTGACAAATATTTGATACAACATTTGCTCCCTTGATGTGTTGCCATGATCTTAATCTTCCAACTCTGGCTTGACACTTTGTATTTATTTTCTTACTACTATTAGATTAGAAGTCAGTGTTAAAGTGCATCTAACACCAAAACTTTTTTGGGGGGGTTTTTCTTTTTGTATCTGTGTCCTCGCTGATCAATTCTTACCACTGTTACCAGGACAGAAAGTGGTGGGAAATTAAAAATTTTAAGTTGTTATTAGAACAAGAATAGATGGGAAATCTTCCAATGGGGATTCTTGCTTTGGTGACAACTGTCAAATCAGATTTCCCTAAATCTGTAAAGATTTCCTCTTGCTTCCTGCTATCTCTGCAGGGCAGGGGAAAAAAAACAAAACCAGAGTTTTATCCTTTCCCTTGTCTAACTTTCCTCTACTAACCAGTTATCAAGTATTAGAGATGTCCCATCACACTCCAAACTGACGGTTCACAGTATGTAGCTCAAGTGGGGGCTGAAATGTCCAATGGATGGTGCTGTAAAACCAGAGGAAGTAATAAGGTCAACAGCACAGCAAGGTCTACTTTATCGATCCGTCTTTTATTGACTTTCAGATAAACATGGTGTCACAAGCATTCGCAAAATTTCAGAACCACATGTGGTCCCTTCATCAGGTAAAACAATTTGTCATATTGTGGTTCCGAAACGTTGTGATCGCTTGTGACACCATGTTTATCTAAACGTCAATAAAAAAAAAAAGGATTGATAAAAAGGACATCAGTGTGCTAGTGACTTTATTACTTATTCTACTAACCACTAAGCCACTGTGCTGCCCATGTGAAGAAAAAAATGACTTATTTTAGAAAAGTGACATTGATGTATAGTTCAGTGACTTATAGAAAAGTGTCAAGCATGTGGTTTTATATGGCAATCGAACAGTCAGGTATAAGCAGGATATGACTGTTCTTTTCTTTCCACCCCTCCCATCCTCAGACTCTAGTGTAGGCTTTTTCTTTTATTTTTATGGTTGTTTGAATCTTAATATGCAGAATATGATTTAAAGGTAAACTGTAATGAGTTTTTGGTTGAATGATTTCTTTAAGTGAACTTGTTACTTTTGTTGCATTTAGTAACAAGTTATCTTTATATTCCACCTCCTCTGCTACTAATAAATACCCTCACTGAGCTCCCCACCACCCTGGATATCTGTCCCAATGTCGAAACCCTTGTGTAAGCTCTGTTACACTTGCCATATACACTTAGACATCTGTTGTTCAGCCCCATGGGTGGCTACTATATTTAGGGAGCCAGCACACATGATTATGTGAATACCCAAATAGTGATTGTATCTGGCTGAATGCAGTCAATGTTTGGCTGGCAATGTTCCACCCAGCTCCTTCAATTTTTCATATTCTGCCATATTCATATGTAATATGTAATACCTGATAAATATCGAAAAACTTGAACGGACAAACCTGCTGGATTTAATGTGTACAAAAGAAGTGTTTGAACTGTTTCTTCTCTACTGATTGGTACTTTGGAATGGCCTATAATGTTTGTTTTAAATAGTAGTAATAATAATAATGTAACAGCATTTGGGTCCAAAAAAGGCACTCTCTCTCCAAAAGAAACCAAATTAGCAGCTTTAAGTATTCTAGGCCTTTATATCAAATGTCATGCCCATTGTACCTTTCTTTAATTGAGTACCAGCCCAGTAATCCTTCGTCTTTAGCTTTAAAGAGAGAGCGGGAATGTTATTTCCCTTTAGCAAAATGCAATTGATGTACAAGCATGAGTAGATACATGGGAGAGTTAGGAAAACTATCTAATCATCTTAGTTTAGTGTGATAAGCAGCGTTTGACAGGCTCTCCAAGCCATTGCCTGGCAGTGCAGGTGGAATGCATACATTTGACATGCATGAGATGGTTTGCACGACAGCTTTGCTTCTACTGTTGAGCTGGAAATGTATTCACTAGGAATAAATAGAGACAAATATTTTCCATTAATATTTTTCTTTTCTTCTTTTTTTTCCCAGAATGATTCCTGGGGAAAACAATATTCTTATGCACTCTTCAAAGCTATGAGCCATATGCTGTGCATCGGTTATGGGGCGCGGGCTCCAGTTAGCATGTCGGACCTCTGGATAACTATGCTCAGTATGATTGTTGGCGCTACATGCTATGCTATGTTTGTTGGCCACGCAACAGCCTTAATCCAATCTTTAGATTCTTCACGTCGACAGTATCAAGAAAAGGTAACTGTTTTACATACTCTTAAAAATTGTACAGTAATCCAAAGGGGGTGATTTACTAACCTAAACACACACACGTACCAGGTGCGTGTGATTTTCACACAGCAAAACGTATTTATCAACCAAAAAGTCTCTAAAAGCATATTTCCACTAATGCCATATATGGAAAAAGCATGCACATGATGCATATATAATGCTGCTTCACAGTTTAGACAAAAATGGTTAGCTCATGCATTTACATTCCTTGCATTCATCAACGCAAGCAACACAACATAGAGCTAATTTACACAACATCACCTTGCAATTCATGCTTGGCTTTGCACAACACACCTGCTGGGTGTGTACACACTACAAAGGTGTTTAGATTCCACCCATAGATCATGCTGGGAGGGAACACACTGCAGAGGTGTATACACGTTCGTGGTGTGTTTATAAGGTTAGTAAATCAACCCCAAACTCTCACAAAAAAACAAAATACATCTGTGTTAATTTAATTCATGGTTTGTAGCCTTTTTTTTATAGTTACAAATCTCTAATGGATTGCACAATTTGACCATATAAACCCTTTACCAGATGGTTAGAATCATCATTATCACCAACATTATTAGGCACCAGTATGACTTCAAAAGATGTTTATAGCTGGGTTTAACTTTACATATAAATAGCAAACAAAAGAACAGTGTGCGTGTGTGTGTGTGTATGTATGTATGTATGTATATGTGTGTGTGTGTGTGTATATGTATATATATATATATATATA